TGAATAGACAAAAAATGGGATCATCAAATTCAAGACTAGCATAGGCATACATGAGACTTAGTTTAGAAACAAATGAATAATAGACATATATGGAATACCTCCTTCAAAAGATCACAAAGAAAAAGTTTTCTTATTAAGATGACCAATGATGAGCTACTCATATTAACAAAGCTAGTCACAAGAAGACCAGACTTATATAAGTAAGTAAAATGTCTTGCATGTGGACAGCAAGAAGAGACAGTAGAACACTTGTTAAAATGTCTAGGATATAAAGCTCAGTGGCAAGAAATCTGTCAGAAGGGTATAGAAAATATAATGTAAGGTTTCAACAAACTCCTGATAAATAGGAAAAAGGAGTCAGAAGAAAAAGAGATAAGTCTGGTAGTTGATAACTGAATGAAAAGAGGAGAAATGAATAAGAAAATAGCTCAACTGGTGAAAAGGATCTCAAATACTGATCAGAATATATTTAGTTTTTATATGGAACTGATTGAAAAATACCTAATGTATGAGATAGCAAACTTAAAGTGCTATGGAAAAAAAATTAATAAAGAAGCAAGAAAGTGAATAATAAAAATGCAGAAGAAAACATGTAACCTTTTCAGAAAGAAAATTTGAAATGTCAGATGTGAAAAGGTGTGAGTAGGAATGGATATTAGAAATAAACAGAGATGACAAGATTAAAAAGTCACCACACTTACAGAGACAAAGAAACAGAACCAAGTTATCAGGAAATCAGTTATATAAAGTACTATTAAAGGAAGAAGAATTAGAAAATATAATTCTCAAACAGGTCCTGTGAGATGGGGTAAAGTATGAGATAAAATGATTGGATTTTAATTTCTGTTAGAACTTGGAAGAGTGATTTGCAATAGTAATCTACAGGCAATGATGTTAAAAGTTGGAAGGGTATTCACCTAAACTCCTAACGAAGCAATAAATTACTTCCAAAATTACACTTAAAAAGATAAAATAACCTAGATAAGTGAGTTAGTTAAAGAATTATCTTTAGTATATCATGTAATATGTACAGTTTACAAATGTTTAATAAAGTATACATAACTAGTTTGACAGAGGGCAATAATAATAATAATAATAATAATAATAAAATCAAGGACTCAGTATCTTATGAATCTTGTGACTTGCTTCTGTTCATCTAAGGGTAAAAGTTATTATGTTATAACTTTATTAACATTAATATTTATATGAAAGAGAAAATCAATGCTAAAATTGTTTTATAGTATGTTTCTCATATTATGGTTTATTAGTTTTATATATAAATATTTAGTAATTTTTTATATTCTTCTTTTGTCCTGTGATGTCTTTTTACCTAGAGATTTAATGTTGTATTCTCACTTTATTTTCTTGGATATTTCTTGTATTTTTTTCTATTTTGATATCAACTTGCATCTTAGCTTCCAAATTTTTCTCTTTTCTTGTTAGAATTATATTGTTATCTTCTTTACTATTGTTTTGACCTCTTTTTTGTCCTCTGTAATTTCCTCTACTATCCGAATCATTTTGTAAGTAATAATTTCTCTGACTATATCAGTGAACCTTACAGTTCTTCAGCTTTTTATTTTTGTATTTGATCTAATGAACTGTTTCCACCTACTTTTAATGAAATGTGACTGTTTTTGCCATTGGCTCTTGCTATATATTCATGTACCAAGAATGTTGTTAACTTTTTGATTAACTTTGTTCTGTTTTGTCCACAGGTAAAGGAATATAAATCCTTTTCTTCTTATTTTTAATAAATTATATACATTGTTAACTTTTATATTTTTAATTTTTGTATATTTATATTTGCTAGTGTAGGGTGTTTATTAGACCATATCTTCAATTAGAATGTTTTATTTCTATGGTTTTCTTTACTAGTTTGAAAGGATTTAATTTTGAATGGCATCAGAATCTATATGGTCATCTTCCAATTTATTTCTTTGACTTTTTGTTCTGTAAGTCATGTTTAATTCTATTATAGTGCTCTCCACTTATTAGCACATTTGATTTTCAGAAGGATTTTGCCTATTGTCTTGAAGAGCAGGTTTATAAAGGACTGGTTCCATCTTAGTGTTGTATTGCTACTTGTGAACTTAAGCTCTTGAATCTTTATAATGTCCTTGAAATTGTTTGCAAGTGTGATGGCTGCTAGTTTATCTGCCTGTTCATTTTCTTTGTTTCCTGACTAATCTTTTATTTTTATTCACTGAACTTTGATATGTTGTGTTGTGATGATTTCTCAGATTGTGCTAACCAAGAGCTTGTTTGGCCTTTCTAGCTTCTGGTTCTTGGTCTGGTCCTTTTGTAGTGCTTTTTTTATTGCATTGATTGCACCTTGGCTGTCTGTATCCTTTTATTGGAGCTGACTGTGCTGATTGCTGTGAGAATTGCTGTCAGTTCCACTCTGGTAGAAAATGGTATTGGAATCATAATAATAACCTTCATCATCGTCATCAGAGAAATCACAGAAGCTCCCATCATCTTCGTTATCGTTGGAGAATTCATCATGATCAGCACCCTCATCGCAAGAATTTTCATCATCAAAGGGACCCGAGTCAAAATCTATGGCATAGCCAGCCGTTAGGCGATTCACCGAATAATGACTCTTCGAGTCTAAAGAACTATCGGGTACACTTTCTAAATCGGAAGAAGCAGATTCGATAGATATATTCACCTTAGTTGAATCTTTCAAATTCGTTTCATTATCGTATTTATCATCGTTATCGGTATCATCCATATTCTCCTCATCATCATCAGATAGAGGTTTATATTATCTTCTGAATTAGAGGTACGAGACACTTTAGTAGTTGACATATCATTTGAGTTAGATGGTTCGGTCACTCACTCTGTGCCTGGTAACTCATATGAGTCGATTTCTTGCAAAAATCGTTTATAATGTTTTGAATTTGAATATCTTTTAGACTTGAAATAGCACTTGCACTATAAGTTATTTGACCAATTTTATCTATTCCTATTCCTTCGTAGAATATATAGACTTTTTTAGCTCTGGAAGTTATTTTACGCAAGTTCACATCGGTAATATCGGAAAGAAGCGATTTTATTTCAATATACACTATCGTTCTTGCTGATTGGTCGTCAATATTATTCGCAGACTTAACATCACTGACTCGATTCTCGTATGCTTTATAATAACAATACCAGCATAAGCTTTCCTTTTGTCGAACCTTCATTGCCACCCTAAATAAATCAACTATATTTCGTGATGTAACTTTACTAGATCCCGTTAAAATTGTTTCTAAAGGAAAATCAGGATTCTGGATATCAAATACTTTATTAGAATTATTATTATCTTTATTGCAAACAGATAGCTCGTGTCTCAAACCCTGTTCTACTTTTTGATTATAAGGAATTTTCAGATTTGATTTCTCTGGAAGAGGCGAAGTTTCGAGAATCTGACCGATCTTTTCATTGTGATTAAGAGGTAATTGCTCTCCTTCCTGAGGAGCTTTGTGATATGAGAATACTTTCACATTTGGAAGTACCTCTTGATCTTGAAGCTTTTTTTCTCGATTTATTTCTCTTATTCTGTTACTAATATTTTCTTTATGTACCTGATCCAGGAAATCAAACATTTCTTTATCCTATAATGATTTAGACTTTGTGCATGTAGGTGATGTAGAGCATTGAGATTTATTGCTTTCCAATGGTACTAATGTCCCAGTTCCTTGATATACATCAGAATTTAGCAAGGCCACTTACGTGGCTGAAAAAATACTGTGTAAAAATCACGTTAACACACTTTTGTTTTATTTATTGTAATAAATCAAATCTATTTATTGTTTCTATACTATTGCCTACACTATAAATTTTTCGTTTGTTTAAACTATTTATTTATAATCCCACCTCTTTTTATTATCAATTCTGATTGATGACGTTATTCGCCAATTCACTGCACGATTTGTATAGATGTATGATGATAGCTTTTGTTCGTCGTTATCCGACCGTAAACTAATTTATCATTTTCGTGTTAAAAGTTTACGTCGCTTGCCTTCCGTGATACTAATAATTTCTCAGAAAATTGTACGAAAAATAGTCCTTAGTATGCAAGCCCAGAAAACCGACTCAGTGGCCCAACCAAAATATTCATACCTTTATTGTGTGTTCAAAGTTGACAAAATAAAGATTGTTTTTAGTGAGATAGAAACGGTCACCTAGAATTCTGGTAGATGTCATATTCCTCTTCATTTATAAAGCAATTATTTAAAATAAAAAAGCAAGATTAATAAAGTTACCCAAATCCTTGACTTCAAAAATTAAAGGTCCCATCAGCAATCCGGCTCCTTTGTTAATGAGGTCTAATAATTAGGCCATAGAGTTTCTTGTAAGTCCATTGCCTGGAACGTTCCCGTGTAAGACCTGCAAAACCCACCGTAAATTACCACTCTGAATCCTTTAACAGATACATAAATCCAACGGAATCAGGAGATGTTGCGTGGCAACTGCGGTAAGCAGGTGTGGGCAAACGTTCCCCTCTGCCAAGCTGACAAAACCCACCGTAAATTACCACTCTGGATCCTTTAACAGATACAGAACCAGGAGATGTTGCGTGGCAACTGCGGTTGACAGATTAGAGGTGCAATGGTGCAAAAAAATTTAACGTGCTACAAACTACGTAAATTTGTTAAATTTGTAAAATTTGTGATACGTTTGACGCGTAATATTTGATCCATTTTTTCTAAACATGCCAGATCCGATAATTGATTCCAACTTCAGAACGTATCGCTTTAAACGTAAGAAATATCCTTTCTTCGCGAACACGGATGCCCGACTATGGTCGTTTAAACGTTTTTACTCTTCTATCATTCATTCTGGAGATGCGCCAAAAACATTCAACGAAATTCTTGATAAGTGGACCGCCAGCCTGAAATTCATTCAAAAGCAAAAAAATATCCCAAATTCAATTGTGAAATTTGCAGAAGAGCTAATTGGATTCGGTGAGACCAAGGAATTTGAGAACTGGTTGGACGCTTATGAGCAGAATTTCTGTGCTCACTTCCTTGCAACCCTCTCAAGTGGATCAGTAACAAAGAGCGAGATGGCAAAAGGTTATATGAAACAGACGAATGAAATCTTGAACAGTAAATTAGAAAAATCGAACAAGGAAGATGAAGAAGTTCCTTACGCAGAGGATGATGCGTCGCTGGTATGATTAATTTTTAATATGATTTGATCAATAAGTAGAATCGTCAATTTAATCATCATGTTTCTTTGAAAGGACCTTAATCAAGTGTACAGCGATGATGAAATCATAGAAGAAAATTCAACACGCAAGAAAAGGAAATTAGATGATGATGAATTACCAGGTTATGATGGATTAGCATTCCTTTTTAATGATTCAAATGAAGATGCGATAATTGAAAGAATTGATGAAAATACTCTTGAGGAAGAAAGTAAATTGCCATTTGCTAATGATAACAAGGTAGACTTTAATTCTTGGTATTTCGGAATATGCAGTATATTCAGTAGACATATTATTATCTTCGATAGGATTCGTCCGAATTTACAAGTGAAGACGTGTTGAATGCATTCCGGAAATATCAAAATAAAATTCCTAAAACTCGCAGAGTATTCACGTAAGTTTGATGTCTTTTTTATTGTCATGGTATGATTATTAATGCATTTTTTATCTCTCTGCAGCCCTGCGTATTGGGGAGTGATCGATCTGACAAAAGAAAGTTTATATGGGTGCAACGAAATTACAGAAAGCGATTTGCAACGTTTATCCCAAGATTTCGCCAATCATATCAAATGGAAATGCGAATCAGCCTCAAAAGATATTCAGGATTACTTTGACAGTAGCTGTGAAAAACTTGACAATAGCAGTGAAAATAAAGATTTAAAACATTTTGATTCAAATGTACAATTTTTGTATGTATAGTTGTGAATTATATATTTGAATATCTGGCGTCGCGTTCTGACTTTGCATTATATTACAGAAAAAATAATATGCATTTTTTCCAAGAAATGTTAACGGAAGAACACTTAAAAATGACGTCATCATATCCGTTGTTTCATGGAACATTCACTTCCGATCGTATAAAACACTCATGGTATGTTATTTCCCTTTACAAAATTATTGAGTATTTAATATTAATATTTTTTTGCACATAGGGGAGAAATTCAAGTTCTTTCGAGCAGTGATGCGCGTAATGAAAAATCGGACCCATTTAAAAAAGCACGAATGGGTAGAAAGGTTGATATGAAAGTAATGTTGCTGAAAACACCAAATAAATTTGAGGTTCTTTTTGGAGAGGCTTCAGGTGGGCTGGGAGCATTTGGCATTCCTACAGCCTGTCGAAAAAAACGGTTCCTAGACAAAGTAAAGTTGATGGTAACAATGCGTGATAGCATAAATCGTTTATTAAGAGAATGTGATCATGTATGCAATGAAAAAAGATCGGAAATCATAGTTTTCGGCTGGCTTCAATTTGGTAAGCTTAATATGAGAAGAAATTTTGATAATACTTTTACTAATGGACTCGATTTTTTAGGTTTAGAACTGAATTTTTATGCTATGGATTGGATGGGGTCCAGTGTTTACAGGTTCGGATTGATAGATCGATGCAGGATACCTGCCGATATTGATGATTGTGATATATTGGAAGATGCATATTGTATTCTAAAATTGCTCCAGGTAAGTTAATAGATAAATTACTATAAATGAACTATCAAAAACTAATGAATTTTTCTAATACAGAGAAAGCTACTTGACACCGAAAGAGCTGTAAAAAATCTATTTTCGAGCAACACGAAAAGAAAAAGACGACAAATCACATCAGAATGTAAAGCGGAGCTAAATATCAATCGCTCTCCTTAAATCTGATCTAATCATACCTTTTTTATGTACATGTTATTTGAAAACAAAATTAATCAAAAATAAAATTACGCGTGACAATTTGTCACGCCGATCACTTTTGCCAAGAAAAATTCTCGATCATATATATCAATAACAATGCGTCAGAAAAATAAAATAAATTCAGGCGAGAAAAAATATATATATATCCCTTTATTTAAATAAACGTATATAAAATAAATAAATAAATCATAATTTAAATTACACTCAGATCTGATGATAATATATACAAAATGTTGCATAATTTTTGGATTGATAAAAGATTTTATTGATACAAAAAATATATGACCGGATAATACATGATAAAAAAATATATATAGAAAGTGGAAATATAATCTATCGTTTTATTTTTTCTTGCACACGTCGCCTTTTACTTCTAGGTTCATTGCTCGCTGATATCCTATCCTTTAATAACCCCACAATGATTCCAACTATTCGTTGTACACTGTTTCGAAGAATATCAATATTTTCTTTGATTGCGGTTTTTGAGAGGTTTATTTGATATTCATCCTCGCTGGTACAATAAAGTCCGTCAGTCGAAGATATAATGAAATGCCATTCCGCTGCTAGAAATAAAAAATAATAATAAATACTATACTCTGTAATTGATAATTATAGCAGAGCCTTTATCGCAGATAAAGATATTAGCCATACGTGTAGTAACGATCCCGTAAAGATAATCATATTCATCATTAATAAAAGCTTGTTCTGCCGTTCGTTTTCTCTTATCTTTATTAGTATGGTACGCACTCTCTAGTTGTCTGATGTTCTGGAGATAACCAATTTTGATATTACGTGGTTTCCCCTCAGCGATACACATAAGGTCCTCCATCCCCTTAATTGCATAATCGACACGGCCAGATGCTTCTTCGCCTGAGATGTCTTTTTGTAAGGATATATAAAGTTTTTCTTCTTTGGTTTGTTTTCGAGCAATTTCAAGGGATGCATGTAGGATGGACGGAATAAATTCACAGCGGGTTGCCTCATTGGCATCAGTCATAGTTTCGATATTTGATAAAATAAGTACTATGTCATTTACACAATGGTTCAACGTTTCATCATCATCGATTTTTTCAAATACTGTATCAGAAAAAAAAATAGTTTGATTAAAGAACAGCATACTAATAATAGTGAAGCCAGTGTCTAAGACATACAGTATAAATAAGGTTATTTTATACCTGGGTTAAATTGTTTGATATTAGTTATATCCTCGCCGTTAACCTTATATTTCTTGAGTAATATCTTCAGCTCTTCCGGAGTTTTATACGACGAGAAAGGAAATAATCAATAAGCTCTTCAGTATCATAATCTCTAATAACGTCCCCCATCGTGCGAGTTATTTCTTCGTCAGAATATATGCTTGAAGGTGACGCAGGTTCTGAATATACAGACATTTTATAGGTATTAAAAATTTGGTTTGTGTGGGAAATTATATAAAGATCTATGACGCAAATAATTGGCAGATCTACGAATTTATATAATAGTCGATCAAATTTGGTAATTTAAATTAGTCCATAAATTATAGATCGCTCTGCATATTTTACCCATGAGATAATCCCATATTAAACATTGACGAAATAGATCTCTTAATTTAGAAATTCTAGTAAATTATTGCTGAGCAATGGCTCTTTGAGCCTACGTATTGCTTCGCAGCTATGGGCTATATACAGGAATAATAAACATATATTCACTCTATATAAATACTGTCCCGATTTGTGTATGTGATCACAAGGAGGAAATTAATCGTTACGTTAAGAAAGAGTTAGATAATTTATCTCGACAATTGCTTGATTACAATGAAAAAAACTTTTAATTCTTTTATGCGAGAAATTACTAAACAGTATGAGGAGCGAATTAATACTAATAATAAATTACGGTATGAAATCGAGCAACAAAAGATACAATTACAAGAGGCAGAAAAAATCATTGCATCTTTGAAATCTCACTCTATTCATCAAGTTGACTAATTGGCATATCCCAGCCGACACGTGTTCTGTGTAGATGCTCAGGAGTTACGCTTAAATCTAAAACAACAAATTTCTGTTCACATAGATGCTTATTAACAATTTTATATATATCGCGCCAGTTATTAATATATAAACGAAGTATTCTGCTTAACTCGTCTGAGGTACAAGAACCGTTAAAAAGTATAACATATTTTAAGCTTTTTCTTATTAGTTTTGGGCAGTCAAAATAGCTTTGTGAAACATATATCGAAGAAACATTGGAATGGCGCCCTTCAGTAAAATAGGGTACAATCTTTTCTTGAATTTTCTTTGGGTCGGCGCATAGGTCCTCGAATATAACCACTGTACCTCTTTCTGGAGAAAATGAATCAAGCTTTGGAATTTTATCGGGCTTTGTAGTTCGAAATGTAATATCTTCATGATGTGGCTCTGGACTTTTGCAATTATTTGAAAAGCTGATTTAAGGTACATATATTTAGGTTCTTTGAGATAATGACCGATAAGTATAACATCATCACACTTACTTCCTCCTTTTTTCCCATTAAATATCCGATAGAGTTTATTTCCAAGCAAAAGATTAATAACTTCAGTAGTTTTACCAGAGTTAGTCCGTCCTGCGATTAAGATTGTGAATGGCCATTGGGGTGTACTATTTTTTGAGTTATATTTCTCGGGAGACTTGTATTCGTCTATATTCAAAATAAGTCTTTCAACAGGTTCAAGCTTTTCTATTTTCATATTGTTATTTTATAGATAACCTTTTTTAACAAGAGAATTTTTAATAAACGGATATAAATCGGCAGAGTGTGATATTTCAATAAGATCTATACCTCGCTCCTTGCATATATCCCGCTTTTTTTGATCTCCGATTTTTTGTTGTTCCAAGTCTATTTTGCCTTGTTTATGAAACATTGAATTCTCAGAAAAATGTTGAGATCCCTGGAATTCGTATGCCAATTTTAGCTCTTCGTTATACCCATTTAATTGCATCCCATCCAAAAAGTTTGCCTACATGATGGGAATTTTTTACCTAGGAGATCTTCGAAAATATATCTACAGCGTCTCTCATTAATATGATGGAAACAAAGTGGACACCATTCGAATTTATGCTTCTGGATCTTATGAGGCGGTTCCCACCGATGAAGTCCTTTTTCGCAGGACCAGAGACATACATTCAAACCATTTATCCATCCAGTTTTTCCCAAACATTCGCCATCACGCTTCCTGGCATATTGTTGAGCCTTATCAAATTCGTTATTAGAAATACGAATAAAGTGGACTAATCCAGTGCGTTGATTTTCTGATAATATACTTTGGGGAGGAAGTTGAAGCATATCAATATCTACGTATAAGAGCTCTTTTCTTACAAATGCTCTAGAAGGAGCGTGTTCACCACCCAAATAAAATAAAACTGGCTCATTTTTCGGCATCACTACGTATATTTATAATTGGATGAATAGAAGGACTGTATATAGGATTGGTGGCCTTTCGTTGCTCTAAGCCAGGAGAACCTTCACATTCTCCATCTGCAAGAAGATAGCGAACCATATCATTTTTCTTTAATTTTTCCTCGTCTTTTCCTATAGCCCGCTTTCGTGATATTGATGGTTTGGATTCGACTTTTTCTAGCTTGATGGCCTTTTAAGGAGCTAATCCCCATTTTGAAGAACCTGGTGCCCGTATGAGACGTGTTGAATAATTATTTAGATAATCAATAACTTTTGGCAAATATTTAATCCATACTCTTATCAATTTAGGATCTGAAGATATTGATTCAACAGCGTATTGTACCTTATAAAGCATCTCAGCAAGGGTTTTACAAAATCTATCTACAACTGCGAGCCCTCGATGACTATATGCTCCAATTACTCGAATTATTACTCCATGATCTTGCATTATTTGGGCTGTTTCACCAATATACTCACGACAACCATCGACAGTCAATAATTTAGGCCAGGTTAGTGGATTCAATGAATAGTTATAAATTTTCTTGAAGGCTTTAGCAACTTCAGAACTTTTCTTTGATGTGAGAGGAACACTTGCCTTGAATCTGCTAGC